CATCATGGCTATTGAATGATCAAAAGATATTTGAAATTGATTTTTACCTTTGTCAGTACAATTCCATTGAGATACGAGCAAACTCCAATTGATATGAAACCATTTAGAGCAACAATTGCGAGGAAAACGTCTAAATAGTTATGATCAATGTGAACAACAGCTGCAATGTAAACACCAAAATCTGAAGTAAAAGACATTCCAAGGTAAAGAAATATGAGCCAGTTTCTAAAGCGAACGTTGAGATGCTCGATTTCATTCTGATATTGAATAACCTCACGAATAGTAGCTTTGTACATAAGCAAGTAGTCAACTTTATGCGAACTTCTTCTTTTCTTGGCAAAATGTTCCACATTCTCAGCTACATGAACAGCTTTAAAGTAAAAGTAAGCCAAATGAATAGTAACCAAACCCCCGGTTAACATGAGGTTGATCAAGGCACAAACAAGTCCAAGATAAGTGACAAAAAGCCAACAATAAGTGTAAATAAATTGTTGAGGTGTTTTCGGTAGTTGAGATACTGATTCACTAATAAATACTAAAATCGGTGCAAGACTAATTGTTAAAAGAGCAATCACTTTGATCCACCAAATCGCTAGATTGTTGGCCACAAAACGAAACTTTAAGCAATAAAATGGACTCATATGTAAAACTTGACTTCTAAACCCTTTTGTGTACAATGTATCGTACAATCTAAGTGTCTTTAAATGGCCCTTTTTAACCAAATATATCCAAAAATGTCTCAACACTTCACCAAAAATGGACATGTACAACCAGAAAAGCCAAAAAAATCGACGACCTGGATGGCCACAAAAAAAGTCACCAAAAATATGAAGCCAGTGATCGGGTAAATTAAAGACGCTTAACAATACTAAATGGGCGATATTGGCGAATATTATACAGAAATAAATGATGGATTTTACTATAGTCCATTTCGATGGTGTTACACTCGAATCTTGAGCAAATCCGTTTGGTAAAATATTAAATGCTACACAAAACGACTCAAGTCGTTTCATATCTTTGATTACTACAGCATCATCGACATTACTTGATCTAAATCCAAGTACAAGTTGAATCAATTTTGACATGATTTAAATAGAAATATTAAATTCAAGATTTTCTGTAAATTAGTTCAATTCGCCGGATTGTAATTTCAAAGCAGAAGTGATCTGTGTCAACTGCTAATAATATTAAAATACTGCCCAGTGAATCCACTGATGACTGAAGGCATAATGAATAGAATCCAGTTCAAAATGAATTTCAAGATTGAAGGTTGAATAATTTATGGTTGAATCTAAAGTTCACCACTCATTGAAAATTTACAAGTGAAAACCATTCAGAATAATATCAAAACTCATTATGCATGTGATTGATTTGATTGTAGCGTCATTGAATTGAGTGGTTTTGGAAAATTACTTATAAAATGTTGAAATTATGAAGTTCAAAGTGTGATACAATTCATTATCATTCATAATTCAAATAATCTGAAAAAACACTTGAGCTAAAAATTTAAAATCAATAAGCTTTATTAATCTCCTTTGAGTTGTTTATTTGCAAATTTCAAGGCCAATCGATCGGTTCATAAATATTAAGTTCATTAACAGTTAACAATTTACCCTATTTATTTACTTGATTCATTACCAAAATAATGAAATGCTAAAAAGTAACCATGAGTAAATGTCAACATTAACTATTGAAATTAAATCAATATTTTTAAAGGTTGATCTCATAAGTCATTTT